ATACTGCTGTATATATTTTGTGCTTGATTTCCAATCCCAATTGTTGTATACTGCTCCCCTTCTTGTTCCTTCATGATCAGTATAGCATTAGGGACTCTTTCCATTGTACTGTGTAGTGCTAAAACTTGTAAATCCCCTCTTGTTGTTGGAGTGGTGTATGCTACTGATAGTGATGAGGTCCCAAAGTCAATAGCTGCTATACAATTGCTTGTCTGTAGTACAGGAGGTGCTCTTGGTATCTTCTCAGCTCTTGCCAGTGGTTCCTTGGATAAAGCCATGATCATGCAGTTTAAGGACTATAGTTTGCAAACACAAAACATACAGTGACTGCTAATGAGGTGATCCTACAGATATCTTGACCTCTTATGGCCTCAATTATTCATAGTTCTGTTCCACCCATCATTATCTATATATTGTACTGTTCACTGTATATCCACCTCCTCTTTCTTTGAACTAATGATCCTTTATGATGCATTCATTTTATATCCCTAGCTTCTGTTGTTTATACTTTAAAATTGCACTGTTTTTGTAACTTTTGCATTAGATACTGTCAGTTTATACATGCAATATATCATTCATGCATGTGATTTTTTTCACACAATAGTGTAGCAGCTTTACTCTGTGCATGCTTCATTCACTAAAAAGGAAGTGTTGCATGTAGAAGAGTGTATTTGCATTGTGTACTGTGCATCTTACTTTGTTATACATGAAGTTCTGCATGTAACTTGTCCCAACATCTATTGGAAGATTATTTTGTATTATTGTGTTATACATCACATCAAGAGGACATATGTACTCTTGATTACTTGCAACCTATTCTGTTGACTATTGCAGCATAATTATTTTTATTGTGTTTCTAGTGTTGCTGATCGGAGTTTCAATGATATCATGCAATATCCTGTGTTACCATGGATACTAGCTGACTACACTAGTACTACCCTAGGTAAGGATCTAACCATTAATTGATTTATTATTATTATTATTATTAGATTAAAAACGGATGCCTTCAGAGATTTATTTAAGCCAATAGGAGCACTGAATGAAGAGAGACTAGCATTCTTTAAAGTACATGAATATATCAGAATTTAGTATTAATTAATTAATTAATTAATATTTTAATTGAAAGGATCATTATGCTGAGATGTCTGGAAGGAAGTTTCTCTATGGCACTCACTACTCAGCACCTGGTTATGTACTGTACTATCTCGTCAGAACTGGTTAGGAAAACCTGTTTATCTTGTACCTCCACCTTCTCCCTCTCCCTCCCTCTCTCTCACTAGTCCAGCAGTGTGTTCCAGTGTATCCAGTATCACAGGTACAGTTACCAGGTCAATTGTCATAGCAACGC